CGTACCATGGGGCGAGCTTTTTCTGTCTTATCCTTTTGATTTTAAGTGGCGCCACATTTTCTAAAGTAGATCGGAAGGTATTTTCTAAATAGTTGGTTAATACATCTAGCTCCATTGGGTCTGATGGAGTGGAGACTAGGGTTGTTAGTACTGGGAGGTTTTCTATGAATTGTAGGGCGGTAAATGGTTTTATTGCGCGCTTTGCAGAATAGCGAGGGGACGTACATGTATTATAGCTAAGACGTAGCTCATAAGAGATTAGGTAATGGTCGGAGATTACTGAGGTTTGGGGTAGGATATTAAGCCTGTCTATGTTAAGTCCGAGTGTCAGAACTAGATCTAAAGTGTGACTACAGTAGTGTGTAGGCCCTGTTACATTTTGGGTGATACCAACAGAGTCTAGGATTGAAGTAAACGCCTTTTTTAGTGGGTCATCTGCCTTCTCAAAATGGACATTAAAATCTCCTACAATCATTACTTTATCATTGCACACAGCTAGGTTTGCAGCGAAATCACTAAATTCTTTTAGAAATTCTGAGTAGGGCCCTGGTGGTCTATAAATGTTAAATAATGAAAATGCCTTCTTTTTTGTGGCCGGATTAGTAACGTTGATGGAGAGAACCTCAAAAGAAGTGAAGGTGTCACATTGTTTCTGACTGATATCTGGGGTATTCTGGTAGATTACACATAATCCACCTCCTTTGCCTGATAATCGTGGGCTGTGTACATAATTATAGCCCATAGGGGTGGCCTCATTTAGTGCTGAATAATCATCCTGTCTAACCCATGTTTCAGTAAGACAGAAAACGTCAAATTTATGATCACTTATAAATTAATTTATGATTACTGCTTTTGAGTTTAGTGATCTTATATTGAGTAACCCAAATTTTAGATTTGAGGTGTTGCTGCTATCATCTGAATATGATTTAATATTGATCAAGTTGTCGAAACGGGCTGATTGAGTTATTCTACGTTTAGATTTAGATTTGATTCAGGGCAGAGACACAGTCTCAATACAGTGGAACCTAGGTGACGCAACTGGTCTGACGCAACTGGTGCTAATAATCGTCTTATTCTCAGTGCTAACACTAGCATTATGAGCTGTAGCGTTTCTATCTTTGCCGCTACTTACGTGGCCTTCACTGTGTAGTCAGCGGATGGCCCTCTCGATGTTCCGTGAGAGAACAACTGATCCTACCTGACTAGGGTGGAGGCCGTCCCTCCGGAAGAGCGCCGGCTGTTCCCAAAACGAGGCCCAGTTGTCCACGTAGGTCAAGCCGTTGAGGGCGCACCATCCGCGGAGCCAGGACTGCAGCGCGAAGAGCCTGCTGAACCGCTCGGATCCCCTCCTGTAGGTGGGTAGCGGTCCGGAGATGACGATTCTGGCGTCCGTCTTCTTCCTGGCGGTGTCCAGCAGCGTCTGGTAGTGCTCCTTCAGGACCTCGCTACGACGGTCGAGGATGTCGTTGGTCCCGACATGGATCACCACGGTCCCGAAGGCATTTCGTCTGAGAGCCGAGGGGAGGCGCTTGGCTATGTCTAAGACACGAGCACCTGGAAAACAGGAGACAGTGGCATGGGTGTTTCTAACCTTTACTTTAACGTAGCGGATAATAGAACTACCAATAACATAAACGGAGTCCTGTGAAGAGCGCCGGGGCGCTGGGGCGGGCGGCGAGGCCCGGGGCGCTGGGGTGGGTGACGAGGTCCGGGGCGCTGGGGCGGGCGGCGGCGAGGAGGCCCGGGACGTAGGTGAGGGCGTATGCGGTGTACTGAGGGCGGCGAAACGGTTTCCGGAGGCGAAGATCGGCTGGGGCGGCGGTGTGGGTCTGCAGGGCCCTCTGCGGCGCTGGCGTTCCCAGGGACCATGCGGGGCTGGCGTGAGAACGGCGTCTCCCGGCGCGCAGAAAGACGACGCTGGCGCCACCACCGAGGGGGAAACTTCCCGGGCGGCTTCGAGCATCGACTTCTGCCGAAGGAGCTCGTCCTGCTTCTTCAGCAGGGCGGTGATCTGCCGATCCAGCCGGGCCAACTCTGCGCTCAGGGTCTGGAGGGCGCGTTCCTGGGAGGACGCCATGGTGGATGGGCTGAGAGAATAACTGTGAGAGAGATAGAAAAAGAGAGAGGGAGGAGACAAAAATAAGAAGGAGAGGCGTGAGGGGGTTAGCGACCTGCTAACTGCAGAATTTTCAACTAATTTTCAAGTAAAGTTTGGACGCTGCTCGATCTGAAGTTCTAAGGTGTGGTGCTCTCTGTCGCTCGCAGTGACGTGCTCTCTGTCGCTCGCAGTGACGTGCTTATCTTTTTAATACTTTATTGACATTTGGTTTTGGAGAGAATTTTATTAATTATGTCAAACTGCTGTACACAGATGCCTCGTGCCTAGTGAAAGTTGGAGGAGGACTGGCCAGACCAATCACGCTGAGGAGAGGGGTTCGACAAGGATGTGCAATGTCGGGCCAACTCTTTTCCCTTGCCATTGAGCCTTTGCTGGCTTTAATACAGAAAAAAGTGAAGGGGGTAGGCATGCAGGGGGTAACAAACATCTCCGTATCAGCCTATGCAGATGACGTCTCTGTGTTTGTGAGTAACAGAGAGGATGTTCAAGAGCTGGAGGACTGTCTACACACATACAGCGCCGCCTCGTCAGCCAAGGTGAACTGGGGTAAAAGTGGAGCCCTGCTTTGTGGACCCTGGAGTAGCACAGAGCCCCCACAGCTGCCGGGCGGTTTGCAGTGGAGCAAAACAGGCCTCAAAGTGCTCGGAATTCATCTAGGCTCTGCAGAAGTGGTGAGGAAAAACTGGGACTGTGCCTTGTCGCAAATATCGGAGAGGCTAGCGAGATGGAAGTGGCTGCTGTCACAGGTGTCTTACAGAGGACGGGTGCTAATAATCAACAACTTGGCGGCATCCACCCTGTGGCACAGACTGGCCGTGCTCAACGCACCTGCTGGCCTGTTAGCTGAGATCCAGAGGAGGCTGGTGGCCTTTTTCTGGTCGGGTCAGCACCGGCTAAAGGCAGCAGTTCTGTACTTGCCTACCCATGAGGGAGGGCAAGGCCTCATCGATCTGGAGAGCAGAATGGCAGCCTTTAGGCTCAAGGCTGCACAGCGGCTGCTCTACCACTCGGACCTGTGCTGGAAGGAAATTGCGCACACACTGCTCAGGAAAGCTGGAAGCATGGGACTTGACCGTCACCTCTTCCTCCTCAATGCTGATGAGCTGGATCTCTCAGGCTTGGAAGACTTCTACGCAGCAGTACTGAAAGCATGGAAGTTGCTGCAGGCTACGCATGAGGAGGGCATAGAACCGACAGCATGGGTATGGGAAGAGCCGATTTTCCACAACCAGCTGATTCCTCTTCGCTCTGTGCGCTCCACCACATTGATGAGGAGTTTCCTGAATGCCGGCATCTGTAAAATAGGCCATTTGCGTAACTCAGATGGCACAGATTGGAAAACAGCACAGCTTTTGGCTCAGCAAACGGGAATCAACACACACAGACTGCTTGGACAGTTCTTGAGTGAAGTGCGGCAAGCTCTGTCCCAGCAGGTGCAGGAGCTCCTAGACCTGCCACAAAGGGATGCTGCTCCAGATTTCCCCTCACTGAGAGTGACCGCTGCCGATGGAGGTTGGCAGGAGAACAGGGGCACCTTGCTGACCTTCTCCTCTCCGAGTCTATGGACATTCAAAGACGCAGATGGAAAGGCACTGTACACAGTGTGTGTGAAGGTGAGGAACCTGAGGGCCTTGGCAGAGGTAAAAGAACACTGGTGGCAAGGTCTGCTAAGAGGTCAGAGCATGGCTGGATTCAGATGGAGGGTGCTGTATAAACTCCCAGTCCCCAAGAGGTCGGGAGACCTGCAGTGGCGAATAATACATGGAGCAATAGCCACAAACCAGCACACCGCACACTTTGTTCAGGGAGTGGATAAGAACTGTCCCTTCTGCTCCAAACCTGAGTCTGTGGATCATCTGTTTGTACACTGCTCACGGCTAAACGTCTTGTTTGGTTCTTTACACAGACTGTGTATGAATCTTGACACGACTTTCACTCACGGTCTGTTCATATTGGGCCCAAAATACACTCGTTCACAGCGGACCAAATGCTGCCTTTTAAACTTTGTGTTCGGTCAAGCCAAACTGGCCATATGGCTCACCAGGAGAAATAAACTGAGAAGACAAGGGCTTACAGACCCTGACGTGATGCTAAAGAGTCTTATCAGAGCACGTGTGAAAGTGGACTTCGCTTACTACAAGGCGATGAATGATTTGTTGACGTTTCAGGAAACATGGTGTGTTGATGAAGCACTGTGTTGTGTAGAGAATGGGGAACTCACAATGTGTACGTGATGCGTTGTCTTGTGTGAAGTGTAACGGGTGGGGGTACAGGCGGCGGGGCGGATGGGTGGGGCTGAGTGGGATTTGTCTGATTGTGAGGTGTAATCTTGCACACTGTTGACATTAAAAACAAAGTAAAAGTCTCCTGCGCTCTTTCTCTCCTTCGCTCTTTCTCTCCTTCGCTCTTTCTCTGCTGCGCTCTTTCTCTCCTTCGCTCTTTCTCTCCTGCGCTTTTTCTCTGCTGCGCTCTTTCTCTCCTGCGCTCTTTCTCTCCTGCGCTCTTTCTCTGCTGCGCTCTTTCTCTCCTTCGCTCTTTCTCTGCTGCGCTCTTTCTCTCCTGCCCTCTTTCTCTGCTGCGCTCTTTCTCTCCTGCGCTCTTTCTCTCCTGCGCTCTTTCTCTCCTGCGCTCTTTCTCTGCTGCGCTCTTTCTCTCCTTTGCTCTTTCTCTGCTGCGCTCTTTCTCTCCTGCGCTCTTTCTCTCCTGCGCTCTTTCTCTCCTGCCCTCTTTCTCTCCTGCGCTCTTTCTCTCCTGTATTCTTTCTCTCCTGCGCTCTTTCTCTGCTGCGCTCTTTCTCTCCTTCGCTCTTTCTCTCCTGCGCTCTTTCTCTCCTTCGCTCTTTCTCTCCTTCGCTCTTTCTCTGCTGCGCTCTTTCTCTCCTTCGCTCTTTCTCTTCTGCGCTCTTTCTCTCCTGCGCTCTTTCTCTCCTCCGCTCTTTCTCTGCTGCGCTCTTTCTCTGCTGCGCTCTTTCTCTCCTGCGCTCTTTCTCTGCTGCGCTCTTTCTCTCCTGCGCTCTTTCTCTCCTGCGCTCTTTCTCTCCTGTATTCTTTCTCTCCTCCGCTCTTTCTCTCCTGTATTCTTTCTCTCCTGTATCTTTCTCTCCTGCGCTCTTTCTCTCCTGCGCTCTTTCTCTCCTGCGCTCTTTCTCTGCTGCGCTCTTCCTCTCCTCCGCTCTTTCTCTCCTGCGCTCTTTCTCTCCTGCCCTCTTTCTCTGCTGCGGTCTTCCTCTCCTCCGCTCTTTCTCTGCTGCGCTCTTTCTCTTCTCCGCTCTTTCTCTGCTGCGCTCTTTCTCTCCTCCGCTCTTTCTCTGCTGCGCTCTTTCTCTGCTGCGCTTTCTCTCCTCCGCTCTTTCTTTCCTCCGCTCTTTCTCTGCTGCGCTTTCTCTCCTGCGCTCTTTCTCTCCTCCGCTCTTTCTCTGCTGCGCTCTTTCTCTGCTGCGCTCTTTCTCTCCTCCGCTCTTTCTCTGCTGCGCTCTTTCTCTCCTGTATTCTTTCTCTGCTGCGCTCTTTCTCTGCTGCGCTCTTTCTCTCCTGCGCTCTTTCTCTGCTGCGCTCTTTCTCTGCTGCGCTCTTTCTCTCCTCCGCTCTTTCTCTGCTGCGCTCTTTCTCTCCTTCGCTCTTTCTCTCCTCCGCTCTTTCTCTCCTTCGCTCTTTCTCTCCTGCGCTCTTTCTCTGCTGCGCTCTTTCCCTCCTTCGCTCTTTCCCTCCTCCGCTCTTCTCTCCTCGCTCTTCTCTCCTCGCTCTTTCTCTGCTGCGCTCTTTCTCTCCTTCGCTCTTTCTCTGCTGCGCTCTTTCTCTCCTGCGCTCTTTCTCTCCTGCGCTCTTTCTCTCCTGCGCTCTTTCTCTCCTGCGCTCTTTCTCTGCTGCGCTCTTTCCCTCCTTCGCTCTTTCCCTCCTCCGCTCTTCCTCTCCTCCGCTCTTCCTCTCCTCCGCTCTTTCTCTGCTGCGCTCTTCCTCTGCTGCGCTCTTTCTCTCCTTCGCTCTTTCTCTCCTGCGCTCTTTCTCTCCTGCGCTCTTTCTCTCCTTCGCTCTTCCTCTGCTGCGCTCTTTCTCTCCTGCGCTCTTTCTCTCCTTCGCTCTTTCTCTCCTGCGCTCTTTCTCTCCTCTGCTCTTCCTCTCCTGCGCTCTTTCTCTCCTTCGCTCTTTCTCTGCTGCGCTCTTTCTCTCCTTCGCTCTCTCTCTCCTGCGCTCTTCCTCTCCTGCGCTCTTTCTCTGCTGCGCTCTTTCTCTGCTGCGCTCTTCCTCTCCTTCGCTCTTTCTCTCCTGCGCTCTTTCTCTCCTCGCTCTTCCTCTCCTGCGCTCTTTCTCCAGCTGTGTCTTTATTCCTCAAGAGAAGAGAGAAAAGCTGAACCTAAGACAAAAGGAAGAGGAAGTTGCTGGTCTGTTGATCTTTTTCCACCAATCTTTCTGAAATCTAAACTTTGTTTGAAGATGCTGATTTTAGTGTTTAGTTTTATCCACCCTTTCTGTTTTACTTATTTGTAGTTTTATTTTTAATTATTTTGTAGTTTTATTTTTATTTTTACTTTTTAAATTATAGTCTTTCCTTTAATATTTTGTATTTTATATTTTACATTAGCCTGTATTTTTGCTTTATTCCCAGTTTGATATTTTTTCTGATTATGCACCGTTAGGATTGCTACTTAATTTTGTTGAACCCTGTGCAGAAACTAATAACCTCTCCCTGTTTAAATCCCCTCAGCACCTTACTCAGCATCATCATCATCATCATCATCATCATCATCATCATCATCATCGTGGTGGTATTAAGCCCTCGCCCCAGGATCTCAAGGTTGCAGGCTCAGTCCTGCCTGTGGTGTCTTTGTTTCTTTCATTTTGTTTTCTAATGTTTGAGTTGTTCTGCACTTGGATCCAACTGCTTTCAGCTCTCAGCGATGGCTCCCTCTGATAAACGCTGACCCTCCAACCTGAGGGCCTGAGTTTGAATCCCCCACTGGGTGGGTTAGTGCATTACAGGACTCACTCTGGACCCAAACCCGGCTCTCATAGATGTCACTCCGTCTGAGGGCAACAGAAAGTTGGAGTTGATGAGACCCCCAGCTGTGGATTCTCCTGAGAGATCTGGTTGGCTGACTGGATGCTTTTACTGGGCGGTTGACCGCAGTGGGTGCTGGACTGTTGTTGTAGCAGTAGTGTTAAGGGTCGATCAAGAAAAGAGGAAAGATATGATGTTTGGATGTTGTGGTGATTCCTGGGCTCTAAACTGCTGTTCCAAGTATGTTATCTGTCACAAAGGGTTATATGGGGTCTTACCGTCCCCCCTCGATCTAACACAGAAGGAATTTATCTGGACTGGACAACAGGCACCCTGTCCTTCTCCGCCATCTCACCTGATGCATCCAAACTGATCCACCTACATACATTCTACTCCACATTCGCTGAGCCACTCCATGCAGGGTAACATTAACTTACTGAGTCCTGGAGAAACTTTAGGCTCTAGAATAAACTCAGAATTGATTATGTATTATAACTTATAATCAGAGTGGAAATAGCCAGGTTTTAGTGGGGAATCCTTTTTGTCTTTATTTATTTTTTTGTTGTTATTTTTCGACAATCACCTCCTAAAATGCCTGTTTCCGGCATATTTTTACAAAAAATATATTTTTAAAAAAATGACTGTTTCATTCATAGTGGTTATAACACTAATTATACTTTCCTGATTTACAGAGATACTTATCTCTGTTCATGTGGAGCATCAAGAGGAGGTGCATCACCTGAAAACAACACAGTCCGATTCCAGCAAAGCAAGAGAAGCAGAAAGGAATGTAAGTAAGTAAGCAAAGTTTATTTATATAGCGCTTTTTACAACAGGTGTTGTCACAAAGCAGCTTTACAAGGAAATCAGCATTACAGAAAAAAATCTGGGTCTGAGCCCCCATGAGCGTCGCCAGTGGCGACAGTGGCAAGGAAAAACTCCCTAAGAGAAACAGGAAGAAACACTGAGAGGAACCAAGACTCAGAAGGGGAACCCATCCTCCTCTGGTCGACACCGGATAGTAAACATTGTTAGTACAAAGTATTATAGTACAAAAACAGGGAAAACAGGTGGAGCAATGATTAATTTGAATAGTTCGAGTTCATGCAGCAGCAGAAGCATCAGTGGGGTCAGGTTGTGAGGGTGAGGTTTGCACGGCGAGCAGAAGGCAGAAGAGGCAGCAGCAGCAGTGGGGTCAGGTTGTGGGGGTGAGGTTTGCACGGCGAGCAGTGGCACCCGATCAAGGCAGAAGAGGCAGCAGCATCAGACGCACAGGATGGGCAGCTGTTCAACTCGGTGAAGAAAAGAAAGAAAGAAAAACACACAGTCAGTTCTGTAATGGGTGACTGATTAATTTGATTAGTTCATGTAGCATCAACATCAGTGGGGTCAGGTTGTAAGGGTGAGGTTTGCACGGCATAGTACAGCATGAAGCTTGATGGTGGTCAAGCCAGTCCAGAGGGCTGGCAAGCAGTGGCACCCGATCAAGGCAGAAGAGGCAGCAGCATCAGAATGAGCTCCTGGGCAGCTGTTCAACTCGGCAAAGAAAAGAAAGAAAGGAAAAACACACAGAGAGTCAGTTCTGTAATGGGTGTCGGTTCTGTCAGTTATGTCTTGTATACAGTCTTCAATCTTGCTAAGTTTAATTTTATCATCTGGGTCACTTGCTAAGTATAACTGAGTGTCATCGGCATAGCAGTGGAAGTTTATGCCGTGTTTACTGATAATGGTGCCCAGTGGTAGCTTATAATATGGGAATAATACAGGTCCTAAAACAGAGCCTTGTGGAACACCATACTTTACCTTTACGAGGGCAGATGATTCACCGTTTATATTAACACACTGATAGCGATCAGTGAGGTAGGACCTGAACCAGGAAAGAGCTGTTCCTGTTACCCCTACAAGGTTTTCTAGTCTGTCTAGTAAGATAGTGTGGTCTATTGTGTCAAATGCTGCACTAAGATTGTGAAGGACTAACAGGGACACATTTTCTTTGTCGGAGAATAATAATAGATCATTTACTATTTTTACTAGTGCTGTCTCTGTACTATGATGTGGCCTAAAGCCAGATTGAAATTTTTCGTGTATTTGATTCCTACACAAATAGGAGCTTAATTGTTTTACAACAACTTTTTCCAAGATCTTAGATATAAAGGGGAGATTTGAGATAGGTCTGTAATTTGATAGTTTGCAGGGATCGAGGTTCGCTTTCTTGATGTCCATCTGTAGGCAGGTAGCAGTGGTCAACAGGAGGGAGAAAAAACAAAGAAGAAATGACCCCAGGAGCCCAAGTACATTCAATCCTGTCTGAACTGGGCTATAAACTACTTGTGTGTCGGGGTCGATTCTGGGACCTGTTCTGTTCCGGACACTTGATCCCACTGGGACAAAAGAGACTTAATACCTAAACACAATATTCTTTCGTTGCTACACTGATTAGTTCCTGCTTTGTCTTCTGAGGAGAGCTGGTAGTCGCTGCTTCTTAAAGAATGTACATTTTTTTCAATAAACAATAACATTTTATATATTTTTTTAATTATTTATTTATTACCCAATTATCTCTCCAATTTAGTCATCTCCAATTCCACCCGCTAGTTAGGACTCCCCCAATCACATGATGCCATCAACGCTAGGAGAGTGAAGGCAGCACAGGCTTCCTCCGAGACCTGTGAAACCAGCCACCGCATCTTTTCGAACCGCCGCTCACGCAACGTCACTGGACAGCCGAACGCGCTCGGAGGAAAGCGCCAACCGCCAGATCTGTTACGTCAGCTAACAGACGCCTGCGCTGACTAGCATCGCGCTGAGTGATGGGGGAGAGGGGGGCCAATTGTGCTCTCTTGGACTCCCGGCCACAAAATAGAGGTCACTTTATTTGGTCGCTCTAAACCTACAAAGTGTCTAGGAAACTGCCTCTCCTTACGACGCGCCCAACCCTAAAATCTAGGGATGAACTTAAATTTCAAATGCAAATGAAGGTTTTATTTTTCCTCTATCGCCTCCAGTTCAGGATACAGTACTGGATTATACAGAAATGTGATGATTAGTTTAAGGACAGTTTTTTAATTTTGGGTTTGGAGACTTTTTGTAAATTATGAATCCAATCTCATACAATTTCAATCAAAACGTTAATCAGTGATTAACATGACAGACAGCTGGTTTTCCTACATACACTAGTCTAGACTGGGTTACTGTGATAATGGGCACCATTAAAATATGTAGTTTAGTCCAGACTGGAGTCACAGGTAAAACCTCATCTACAGAAAAGACAATGAGCCAAAAGAGCATCTCATTTGGACTTTCTCTCCGTTTCAGGGTTGAACAGGAACTCCTGAAGGTGGGCGTGATGATGATGTCTTACCCAGAGAAAAGTGACTGGACGTTTGGAGTGATGAGAAAACAGCACTTTACTAATCACCCTTTATTAGTTACCTTCCTTTTGGAGACTCTCTGGCTGCGTTAGCACTCTTTACCTCCGTGACCCTGAAGCTCAGGCTAGCCCTCCTTCACAATAAGAGTCCCTGTCTGAACAAACCAGAGAACAACTGCAGCAGAACTAATAACCAGAATAAACGTTTAGAAAAATACTGTAAATGTCATGTTCTAATGAATAAAACACTGGAGTTTGTGAGTTTATATACAGCAGCGTTTCATTCACACAAGAACTGAATTGCCACAGAAATAAATATTATTGTTATTATTATTATTATTATTATTATTATTAATATTCGTATGTATTGTAATAAACAGTGAGTGAGTAAATGAAATGAAATGTGGTGCCACAGCGACATCTGGTGGATAAACCGTGTTTAACAGTCCTGTCAATCAGGCAGAGTAAATGCGAGTGAATAACCTGAACTGACTGAACAACAAAGGGTTAATATTATAAAATGAACCCAAAACGTGTTTAGATTATTTTACCCCATATTTCATGTTTGAGAATCAGAAATAATGAAATGATAAATATTTCAGTAAAATTGTCCATTTAGAGTTATTTTCTGCCTTGAGATTCACCATTAGGTTTGACATGTGAGGCATTCTGGTTATTAAGTTATGAACCAGCATTGTTTGTTTTGAGATCCCGCCCCTTTCAGAGCTCCACCAATCATCACACACAGAAGCTGAGCTTCCAGGCGGGACAAAACGCACGTTTGTAAAAGCCTGTAAACGTCCAGTAAACATCAAGATGATTTCCATTTTTAAAAAGCCCTCAGAACAGCATCACAGACTCCCAGTGAAGCCCTGACGCCCAAAAACGCTGATCTTCGTTAAACAGAGGCTGTTTCAGTCTGTCATGAACTCAGCCAATGGGGTGAGCTTCAGTAGGGTTCTCAGAGACATGCCTCAGAAGGCTTCAGTGGGGTTCTACAGGATGAGCTTCAGTAGGGTTCTCAGAGACATGCTTCAGAAGGCTTCAGTGGGGTTCTACAGGATGAGCTTCAGTAGGGTTCTCAGAGACATGCTTCAGAAGGCTTCAGTGGGGTTCTACAGGATGAGCTTCAGTAGGGTTCTCAGAGACATGCTTCAGAAGGCTTCAGTGGGGTTCTACAGGATGTGCATCAGTAGGGTTCTCAGAGACATGCCTCAGAAGGCTTCAGTGGGGTTCTACAGGATGAGCTTCAGTAGGGTTCTCAGAGACATGCTTCAGAAGGCTTCAGTGGGGTTCTACAGGATGAGCTTCAGTAGGGTTCTCAGAGACATGCTTCAGAAGGCTTCAGTGGGGTTCTACAGGATGAGCTTCAGTAGGGTTCTAAAGGATGTGCATCAGGGATGTGCATAGGGTTCCATGGGACATGCTTTGGTAGGGTTTCTGTGGGTTGTTGTTGGTATGGTTCAATGACAGGTGCCTTAGTAGGGTTCCATAGGATGTGCTTCAGTAGGGTCCTACGAGCTGTGTAATGGTGCAGTAACTGCCACTGGTGCAGCATCAAATTTTTATATCTTCATATCTAAATTTTTTAATCTTCTCTATGATACCAGACAAGTATTTACACTATATTTAATGCTCCCTTAAACAGGCTGGTGTATACTGATATATGTAAATAAGCTTTGTTCTGATTTGCTGCCCTGTTTTGTGCTTCACTCTAAAAGCAAATATAGGCAGTTATCGATCAGCTTAGTTATCATACATGGACTGAGGACTGAATCTTTGGCCATTAACCTTTAGTCTTTACCTTTAGTCTTTAGTCTTTAGTCTTCAGAAAAAATGGAGGGAAAAAGTGTCCGGTCTTTTTTTTTCTTCCCAAGTATGAATTTTGATAAGATAATCATGATTAATTATTATTACTATTATTATTATTGTTATTATTTTTGTTATTGTTGTTGTTGTTGTTGTTGTATAAGTGCATAG